TCTATTTTGTTTTATACTTGGCTTGCTTTAAAACTAGAAGCTGGGAGTGTGATCATAAAGAGGCCAATGTTTTTCATAATTGCCAATGCAGTACTAGATTTCTAGAGGTACTAGATGACGGCCATGAATAGGGAGGGCGGGTGTGTGTATGCTGACGATGGGCTCTTGATCCAAAGTTTATACCCTCCTATTTTCCTTGTATCAAATTGATTTAGACCTCCCTCTTCCTCCCCGTGTGCTGCATCACCTTAAAAATTCAGCCTCCCATGCATATAATATAGCAAAGTGCATTCTTAACTCTCATACCTCATGTATTGTAGTCTTACAAATAATGTTCGCACTGTTTGCTTGAAAGATATAGCAATCCTTCTTTCGATATTAAGAAGTTAAAGGTGTACTAGTATATGGGATTTTTTAGTGTAAACATTTGAAAAATTGGTGGTTAATATTAGACTAGACTCCCAAGGGATGGCCTTTTATCAGTGGGGGGGGGGGATTCTTGAATCCCTGATCTCCCATGCCATTCGTTGAACCTGACTGCTGTCTTATAAGTTATTAAACTATGGGTTTAGGTTGCTCACGATTACATTAAGGCTTTAGTTTACCTGAACACTAAGAACAAATGGTTTAATAAAATACCTAAAGTAATGTAAAGCTATACACATTAAACTTTATTCCCCGGAATTGGTGCTGAATAATTCAGGAATGTTCAGATGTGTATTTTAACAACCATAAGTATGTATTTACAGAACTTTAAGTGCAGGTTAGAGGAATGTACGTGATCAGTATTTTGTCAATAGTGACAGCCTCGTTTGGGTCCTTAGGCTTTCTGAAGCACATTTTTTTTTTTGTTCCTGTTGTAAGGAAGGTAGACAATATTTAAGAAATCTGATGGTAAAAGCTGCATTACTATCTACTTTATGGAGCAAAAAGGCCATTTTACCATAGGCATTATTACATAGCAGCTTAGTTAATTTTTCATGCTCTAAATGTAGTAGGCTGTAAGGCTGTATTTGAAGTCTTACATCGGATTTCTTGCATATCATGACATAGGTTATACCAATACTGATGGGTGACCCAAGTAAATCTTGTATTGCATTAGTATTTAAACTGTCTAAATAGTCGGCAATTTCACAAACTAAGACTGTAGATACACGACTGTGAAGACGGTCACGATGTAACCTTGAAAAGTTTTTATTCTGACAAGATAAAATGCTAAGTCCAGTTATTTGATGTTAACCACAACTATAAAGATTGCAGGTTGTGTTAACGCAGGGAACGTTCTGTGGCCCTTAAATGAATGGAAAGAAGAATGACTAATAATGTATTACGATCCAGTTATGAGATGGTACTAAATTTTGCGACGTAACTGGGTCCATAAAGTCTATGGGATTTTCACAAAACTTTTCACTGATACTTTGTGGGGTGCCTTGATACCGATGAGGTGTTCTTGATCAAATAAATTCGAGGTACTTTTCCCTTGTATCAGACCTAATTCCCTCCCATTACTTTAGTACTTAATGACCCTTGCAGGTTTAGAGCTCCCCCTGAATATATTATCCCTCCTGGGAAATTCCTTGGTGAAGGGCTCTTGATGAAAGGAATTGTACTCTTTCTCCTTGGATTATACCATACCTCCCATTCCCCAGGTGCTGTGACCCATACGTTTTTTCCCCTACGTTTCTTCGCATGGTTGTATCACTTTAAAAGTTGCTAGCTTGGAAGAGAATATCGTATCAAGGAACAGGAAGCCTCGTCTTTGGAGGTCTTGCAGTCACCTTTTGTATGTTGCAAATCCAGTAACGGACCAGACCTAGTTTATTAAATTATCCATTAACTCGACTGTATTGGCTTTTACGATAATGTATTAAGTGCAGTACCACCAGGCACTGTTCTCAGTAAAGCTAAGCAACATTATAGCAGTTACTTGGCATGTGTTGCCGTGTCGTCAGCCGCTAAGAATAGCGTCGGGCCGTCTGATAAACTCTGCCAGACTTTCCTATGAGAAACATACCGGCCTTTGTTACAATGTTAAAATAAGTTTCATGAAGTTCAGTTGCACTCTAGAAATACCTACCACCCACCATCCATGTACTAGTGACCCACAACAGTGCCTACTCTTACCCTTTCCTCCACGAACTATTCTCGCTCTACCTCCCTGCATCTAGACCCAGCCAAGCTCCTCTCATCCCCTCCCATTTAACTAAGCTCCTCCCACCCCTCTAATCTCCCCCCCCCTCTCCTGCCTGCTTGCCTCTCCCTCCCTCTTGCATCTTTGCCCCCTGCCCTTTCCCTACCTTACCTGCTTCTCCCTCTCCCTCCCCGCCCACTCCCTCCCTCTTTCACTCCCATCCTCTCTTCCTTTCTCCACTTTCCCCTCTCCCTCCCCCTCCCCTTCGCCCTCTACCCTTCTCTGTCCCCCCCTTCTCCCTCCCCCGTCTCGCCACGCCTCAAGTCTTTGTTCCCTTTGCTCTGTCGTGTCTGTGCTCTTAATGTGTTTGTAGACGAGAGAAGCTTGTATAACAGTCTTGAAAATAGTTCTCTACACTGTGGTAATTCAATAATTGGCATAAATTTAAACAATCACTTTTTCTTAAAATGCATGGGGAACTTGAGACGTTGCCACTCTCCAGATGCCAGAATTATTCTGTACATCTGTAAAAGAGAACGTTTTGGTGCTCTTATCCAGTGGCCAGTAATTTAAATTTCCTGAAGTGTGATATAAATACTAATGGAGTAAATATTTGTAAAAGAAGCTTCAGCCATTTACTAAAGCATTGTGGGCAATAATTCTAAAACTAAAACCCAAATGGGCTTCCAAAGGTAAATTTGTGTTAGGATGTGCAAGTGACTTACTTGCACAGTGGTACTGAAGGAACGTTGGTGTATGCATTCATTTGCTTTTAACCAAGATTAACTAAAATTAATTGCATAACTAACATTAAGCAATTCACATGGCATGACAATATATATTTTTTTTCCAGGAGATGTTACTAGTGTGTTAAGGGACACCACCAACCTGGAGCAGGTGCGCGAGGAGGCCAAGGAGAGACGTAAGAGGCGAAAGAAGAAGCGTTCAGGGTCCACTCTTGTTGCCAGTGTTTTCAGTGGTAAGTTTGTCCTCCTTTTGCCTTCATTTTTGTTGTCATAAAATGCAGCTTTCTGTGGTCACAACTGTGAAATACAGCCTTCAGTATCTGATTTTGATTAATATAGACTAATAAAATTGACTAACATTGATTAAAATTGGTGGTTTAACATTCCTGATTTTCATCTTGCAGATCTGTACAAGCTTACCGGTGAGGTGTTGGGACAGGGTGCATATGCATCTGTGCAGACATGTGTCAACATCTATACAGACATAGAGTATGCCGTAAAGGTGAGCATATTAATTATATTATGCTAGTAATGTCTGATTGTTCCATCTCCTAGATGCTATATGACCCTTGTAGGTTTAATTCTCATATGTAATGTACTGTTAATGCCATTACATTACACCCTTCATTTGTATGGTCAATTTTAAACAAAAATTTGGGTAGAATTTAATGCATGTACTATATTTTTTTTACAGATCATAGAAAAGGTACCATCACACAGCCGAACGCGAGTCTTCAAAGAGGTAGAGATGTTCCACCACTGCCAGGGACACAAAAATATCATCCAGCTGGTAGAATTCTTTGAAGAGGAGGAAAAGTTCTACCTAGTATTTGAAAAGATCTATGGAGGTCCTCTGTTGTCCCACATTCAGCGGAGGACTCACTTTACCGAGGCTGAGGCATCTATGGTAATCAGAGATCTTGCCTCAGCTTTGGCTTTCCTACACAGCAAGGGTATTGCTCACAGAGACCTGAAGCCTGAGAATATCCTTTGTGTATATCCAGACCAGTTATGCCCAGTAAAGATCTGTGATTTTGATTTGGGGTCAGGTATAAAGTTCAACTCCAACCTGAGCTCTCCACTGGTGACACCACAATTGCTAACACCTGTGGGGTCTGCCGAGTTCATGGCCCCAGAGGTTGTAGAGGGATTCATCAGTGATGACGCTGGGCCCTATGACAAACGATGCGATTTGTGGTCTCTTGGTGTGGTGACTTACATTCTTCTCTGTGGATATCCTCCTTTCTGTGGCAACTGTGGGGAAGACTGTGGATGGGAGAGGGGAGAGGCTTGTCCTCAGTGTCAAGATCTCCTCTTTAACAACATCCAGGAAGGCAGCTATGACTTCCCCAAACCTGAGTGGTCTTCAATCAGTGAGGAGGGAAAGGATCTGATCCGCAAGTTGCTAGTGAAGGATGCATCACAGAGATTATCAGCAGAGATGGTCCTTTCCCACCCCTGGATCAGAAATGGTGGTCCCTCAACCCGCTTAGAGACTCCAAATGTCATCAGGAAGTGAGTACTGATAATAGTTTAAAAACCTTCACCAATTCAGACTCCACCTTTGTGGTGGAGTCTGAGATGACTTCCCTTCCATGAACTAGAATTTTCTTAATTGAAATCCTTAAATATTAGTCATTTGTTAAAATATCAGTAAGTGATTAAGATTGAGGATCAATTTGACCTTTAATTTCTTAACTTAAAAATATCTGGCATCAACAAACCCCTAAATATAGACAAAACCTTGAATAATTGTTACCTTTGTTATATTTAAATATCACCATACACATTTTGGTTTCTTTGTGTGAATATTTTAAACTTAATAAAAAAAATTTATTTCCAGGAACCACAGTGCACAGCAGTTGTCGCTCTTCGCAGAGTCCTGCATGGCGCTGAATAGGGTCTTGCTGCAACACTTCAGTATGAACCAGGATGAGGATTGTGAGAACATGCATGGGGATGATCCACCCTTTGGGTTATCGCCCCCATCTGAGTCACGCCTTGCCCAGCGGCGGCTTCGTTCTCTCAGCCTCAATACTGAGCATCTCCTCACTGCCACCGGCTAACTGGCACCTTTGCCAGTCACTCAGGGTTAGGTGCTACGCCATGGTAATGGCATTGGTGTGGCACCCTTCATTTTTCATTCTTGTTTAGGCTTAGGCTTTACAAGCAATTTAATGCTGCTTAGAATCCTAACAGTGGACAAGGAGTCTGAACAGCAAGGCTTGCTGTAAGCCAACATTATAAGCCTCAGGTTTTTCTACCTTGTAATGTTATAACATATAATGGAGGTTTAGCCAGCTCATTAATGATCAAATATAAAAAAAAAATATAAAATATTTGTTTATTAAGTTTGATATATATGTAGGCACAAAATTAATATATATTTTCATATGGATATGCTTTATTGGTTATTGAATATTGAGTTCAGGACATTAACATCAGTTTTACCTGGATTCTTAAATTTTTTAGTGCCAATGACTAAAACTGTGTGGGCTATAACCAACAAATTAAGTACAAAGATTATTAAAAATCCTTTGAATCTGTCCTGAATGCCACTGTCAAGTAAACTAGGGTTACGAAATGTGCGGCGGTGTGGCTAGCTACCCCATCCGTGGATGGTGTGTGTGGATCGGCAGGGGCAGGCTCCAATAATTCTTTTAGTGTGTAAGTTGAGAACAGACCCAGTTGTAATATTGCTTGGAATAATGTTTCTCTTTGTGTGTGGTGCTTAGTAACTTAAGTTGATAGTAGTAATCCCAGTAAGTGCCTACGCTTTTACAATGTCAGTTGTGACACCAGGTCCCTATTTGTTTGGATAATTTTTCAAAGAGCATTGATTTAAGGTTCAATACAATTAGGTCTACACAAGCCAGAGGGTCGATTCAGGGCAGTTCAGCTTAAAACATTTTCATATGAAGGAAGGCTTCTGAATAAGCTTGTCAGTTCTAGTCGCATTTGAGAATGCACAGAACGCTCTAGTTTTCTCTTTTTGCTAGAGCGCTGTATCAGCTACCAGACTTATTTTGTGGTGAGAGTAGTACATTACACACGTAGAGGCAGATCACTCTTAATCTTGACAAGTTTGCATAAATGAGGGAAGCCATTGTGATTCTGTTCAAGGTGCCGTATTGCTGCTCGTTCCCACATCTAGGGAATGGATTGTTCCCGAGACATGCCCTCTGGTGTGTCACCCAGTTTCAGGGAGCTTGTGCTGGACCCCAGGAGGGCCACGCAGGCAAGGCACCCAACAAAAGGTTGCCCTATCAAGTGATGTGTGTACCTGCAGTGCCATAGCTTGTGCACACGTTGCCCCGTCCCTCCCGATCCACACACACCTTTCCCATAGAGTTACGTTTTGTTACTGTTTTCTATCTTTTTATACATTGGAATAGGAAATAAAAGTAAGAGTTACTTTTTAAATTTGCCAAAAAAGGTTTTGTTTCCTGTGGGGTAAGATGGCCCCATTTTGATTTTTTCATGTTTGACTTTGTCTTTCTGGTTTTTTACCTTGTTCTTTAAAGGTAATCTTTGAATACTTTTCATTTACAAAGGTAGAAACTGGGTAATTAAAGACAAAGGTTTTTGGGGTGCAAGTAGTCTCTGGTTGTTCTTCCTGCCTTATCCCAATGCCAGCTTGGACAGGCTGATCATATTGAAGTAGTTTTGTAGATCCTGGTATACCCTGTGGTCTGCTGAAATAGTTGCCCAGGGATACTTATTGTCCCAGTGATTGTAGGTGCAGTGGCCAAGTTCAGGTGGAGGAGAAGGCAGGTATACCAATACAGTGGCTGACTTCAACTATCCCCCACAACATTCCTCATCCATCATCGTATCATTTAGCTGCGCGGTCGATCCATTACACTGGTCCATGCTTTTCTCATGCTCCTGTCACATCATGATCTCATTTGTTTAGCCTACCTAGCAGGGCTAGAGATATTCATTTTCTATTTTAATTTATTTGACATTTCATTGATGAATCCTTTGCTACCTTCATAAAGCCATTAGGGGCCTAATTTCCAAACAACACTAAATTATCTTGTAAATTTGATAGTGAGCACGTGAATTCAGGTAGAAGTCATTTAAGTTACCTAGAGCTTCAGTGGTACTAAGTGTTGTTTGTTAATTACGGATTGGGAGTATAGTCCATGCGATAGCTCAAGGATCGACCATGCTGCTTCATACTTCATCCTTGTCTTCCCATTGTACAGCCTATAAGAGTTAGGCAGTACGAGAGGAGAGAAAAATTGAAAAGTGGCCCCCTTCTGTCTTAACTGTTAATATGAATTTCAAGGGCGATAGAGAGAGATTACTGTTTTAAAAACAGCCTGTATTAGCTAGTCTTGTAAATGTCTGTGAGAGCAGAATCATTTAAGGATATTATTCGCCATATTTGGAATAATTTAAACGAATTTATATATAGACATAATAAATGAAGGTATAGGGAGGTCATGTAACTGGATGTGTTGTACCTGTTTAACAGTGGTACGATCGAAAGTGTTTTAACAAAGTACTACGTAAAAAGAGCCGACATTATCATGTACTGTACCCTGTGTTCGCCGGAACAACTCGATAAACTAGCGGTACCAGGGAAGAGGTGCAAAATAAAAGTTATCTTTTTAATACCATGTTTTAATTTATCCAATCATTTATTGGTTAATTGTAAGTTCTGTAGAGAACTGCAAAGGTGACCTGGAAATGTTGCAAAGCGTTTCAACATTGCCTTAAGCGCTTCATAACCTTATGGGTTTAGTTTTCATGTGTACTGTGTGCTTAATCTCTTCATGGGGCTTATCTTGACTGGTGAGAGGCTTCTGATTCAAATCAGTAGTACAATCTAACTCGGATCAAACATGATTTTGCCTAATTTCCCCAGGTGTTATAGCAACCTCTGTGGGTTTCGTGCTTTCCCATGAATGTGAATGATGGGCTGATAAAATGCTACCTATAAATAATTTAAGTGAGGAAATATGGGTTAGCCAATTCAATAAGTTTAACATTTAACTGTGTTTATGCAATATTCACTTTACCTTAGATATACCTTAACAGGTTTAGGTTTTCTCCTTCCGTAGACTGGCACTGTGCCAGGCTTGTTTGGCGCTTAATTTGTCAACCAGGTTGCTGCTGGCCCAAGTATCCATCGTAACATTTGATCCGGCACCTGGAGGTACTTCAAGTTTGAAGACTACACTTGAACCTGCAGTATTTTCATAAGAAAGAACACCATATATGAACTACCAACCACAGGCATCCTGTGGGTGGCATTATGTGCATAAAATTAGACCCATCACCAGTACACTGTATCCCATTGCTTAGTTTAATATGTTTATTATGCACCCCATACCCATCCTGTGGGCGAAGTAGTTTTACTGTATAATCCTACGGGTTTAGCGCTTCCCCATAAGTAGTTTTACCTTGATAAGCTCGTCATCTGTCACACTTCTTCCTATCGGACCTGAACGCCACATAACCAACCCTTTTAGTGTCGACTTAAATTGCTTCCCCTCTAACTTGTCAGGAGAGGTTCCTTGATGCTGGTGGGAGGCTCTTGATCTAGGGAATTGGATCTGTGCTCCTGTTTCCTGAATTAAGAATGAATGCCTTACATCCCCTCCACCCTTTACAAACGCTATATTATCCCTACGGGTTTAGCGTTCCCCATGATAATCCTCTGTAACCCAACTACAGAAATCGGGCTTCGAACCTTCTCTTAAAGGATCCTCTTGATCCCAGTGAGGATTCTTCATCTGAGGGATGTGATTAGTCCTTCAAAAAAAAAAAAAAAAATCCCCATTAGCTGGATGACCCCTACTAGTTGGGCGCCCCCTCCCCCACACCCCACGACTAAATTGAAAGTAAAATCCTGAACTTGGCTCTTCTCTTGATACTGGTGAGGGGCTCTTGATTTACAGACTTGGATCTGTGATCCAGTTCCTCGAATTAAGCCTGAATGCCTTCCACATCCCCCCCCCAGGCGCTGTATAATCCTCCGGGTTTAGCACTTCCCCCTTGACTATAATATTGATACTGGTGAGGGGCTCTTGATCCGAGGAATTGGACCTTGCTTTCACCTACCCTTCAGGTATAACTTGGATCGAACCTGTGGATCCCATTCTCCCAGGAGTTATGACCCCTACGGGTTTAGCACTCCCCATGAATGCAAGAACGTTTCGCGTTTACCGGACGGAGGATCGAGCCTTCATCTTCCTTTGCGCTTTGTGATTTCCACAGGTTTAGTGCCTTAATCAGTAAAATGAGCTTTAGGCCTAGTTCCCCACCTCAACCCACCAGTTTCCCCCCCTTCCCCCTCAGTCCGCCAGGTTTTCCCCCACTTCAATCCACCAGGTTTTTCCCCACTTCAATCCACCAGTTTTCCCACTTCAATCCACCAGGTTTTTCCCCACTTCAATCCACCAGTTTTCCCACTTCAATCCACCAGGTTTTTCCCCACTTCAATCCACCAGTTTTCCCACTTCAATCCACCAGGTTTTTCCCCACTTCAATCCACCATTTTTCCCACTTCAATCCACCAGGTTTTTTCCCCACCTCAGTGCACCCGGTACCACTTGGACATCAAAGTTTGTGTATACATCACGAAATGACCCGTATTTTTTTAAGATTTCTCGGTCAGCAAAGCTGTCACTTTTCTCTGCTAATCACTACCCCCGCGCCATCTGTTGATAAAGCGACTCACTAGTGATGCGGGAACTGTTGTGGGGGTGGGCAAAATTACTTTAAAATCACGACTCTGGCTATGGTAACCTACGAGTTTAGGCAAGATTTGTCAGGAAACAGCTGTATAGCCCTTGTGGCTTAGCGCTTCTTTTTTATTATAATAATTGTCAGGAAACAGGACAAGTGTTTCCTGACGCGGGTCGCTATATGACACTCGTGGGTTTAGCTCCTCTTTTTTCATTATAATAATTCTGGAGCGAGTCTTAAAGTTGGTGTTGTCTCGAGTATCCCAGGTTAATTTGACCCCTATTGGACTTCTCAATTGTCATGTGCAAAATAAAAACAATCTGAGGTTTGCTTCAAGAGGGCCCCATACAAAATTAAATGTCTTTCAAATGTGTATTTTTAATATGAATATCCATCACCTCTCCACTTGCAATGTAAGTCACAGGGCTGTATGACCCGTGTGGGTTTAATGCTTAGTTTTGATTATAATGTAAGCTTATTCAGGTGCAGTTACAAATAGTTTTGTGAATTATTATTGTGGAAAATACTGTATATATTTTCCAGAAATACAGTAGTTATATGTATATAGATGGTCATAATGTATTGAATAAAAATTATCGAAAATGGGAAGCCTGCGCCTGCGCAGACGAGACTCGCCGTTGTTTTTTTTTGAATTGAGTAACAAACGTTAGTGAATATTGGGAAGAATTTTCATGCTCTAGAGGTAAAATTGGGTGACACCTCTCAAATAGGAGCCGAAATTGTTGGATGTGCATTCCTGCATAACTTGAGATATCAGGTGACTGGACAAGACAGCTACAGGAACCTCAGATAAGTCTGTTAATATTTTAACTCTGGCCAGTGTTATTTTCATGTATAGACAGTGAGGTTTTTGAGTATGATACACCTTAATCTCCAGTCAAATTGGTGAGTGATATTAAGATATATTCTCCTTCTGTTATGTAAATTGTATGTATATAATCCTTTATTAATTTAATATACAGTCCACAAATTTTTATATTTACCAGAATTCTTGTTGATACATATTTCATTTGTAATTAATAGGTCTAGAGCAACTTGTGGATATGACAGTTGTAGGTATCGAAGGGGGACATTTTTGCGACCTAGGTGTCCCAAATTCCTACTTGTCTATGTAACTCTGATAAATAATAATCTTTGTTATCATTTACTGTTATGTACATAATGAGTTACATTCAGATAAATGCAATTTTCCACAATTATTATGTGAGCAAACTAGCTGCATGAGGAATACAGGACCCCAATAGAAATAAGTCGCTCTGACTTTTTTTTGGGTTATCCCAGGTTCTCTATGTCGTAGGGGTTCTTAAAGGAGATCTGAGGGTTGAAGGTAGACACACTAGTTGGATGGTAACGATATATATTATCAGACTGTGATAATGGGAGATGGAGCCCAGCCTGCCGTGTCACTGCCTAGCTGGATGTTATACGCCGACTGAGGCCGAGGTAGCTCGCCTCACAAGCTGTATCCCGTGACGTCATACAGTCACAGGCCTAAGGGATCTTCTGTATAAACACATCGATGATACTATAATGCTCAGTTAATCTATACAACACATGTAAGGGGATTCAGCAACTATGCTGACATCTACACATATGCTGCTATGTATGATAATCTATGTAACTGTGTTTGTGTATGCCTGAATAAACTTATTACAGGCAAGTAATTTGGGTGAGATAAGTGGGACTGAGTCACAGTAGGTCACAGGACCGTAACTCCCTCGATGCCCACTTCTTCACCACTGTCACAGAAAGCTAGACCTGACATTAAATTAAAAATTACAGTATTAAAACCGGCTACTCTGGTAAATTAAAGTTGTAGACCGTATATGATTAGACTTGCTGGGTACAAAAAAGGAATTTGTATTACTACTTACCATTTAATTACTGTAGATGGATCACACATCACCTACCTAACACCTAGACCCTACACTGGCCAGGTAGAGATCTAAATGGAAGGACTAATGGTGCACTTCCCTGTGAGAGATGGTCGTTGGCAACAACGTTGGTCTACTATGCTCGGCAACAAACTTCAATCTATTAAACCGAGTATAGGTTACTGGCCGTCTTCTTATCACCAGTGTCGAGGTTGGGAGACTACTCTCTCCCGTCTTCGCATTGGCCATACTCGTCTTACTCATGGATATCTCATGGAGAGGCGTCTTGCTCCTCTCTGTGAGAATTGCCAAGCTCCATTATCAGTCAGCCACATTCTGTTGGACTGCCCACTTTATCAACGAGCATGCAGAATTTACCTCTGTCGTCGTTTTGCTCCGCTGTTCTCTTTAACCTTCCCTTCTCGCTGATGGACCACTTTTCATCCGGAAACTCTCTCATTGACTTTTTGACAACAACTGACTTACTTCACAAATTCTGATACTTCAGCCCTTTCTACTTCAATCTCTTGCTACCCTCTACCTCCGTACTAACCCCTGCCCCGCTGTTTTCTGTAACCTGCTGATCATCCCCCCTCCCTTCTGCCATCCAATTCCCTTGCTTCCTTCCCTACCCTGCAGCGCTGTATAGCCCTTGAGGCTTAGCGCTTCTTTTTGATTATAATAATAATGTGAGAGATGGTCATATCCCTTGTGTTCTGCCATCAACACACATTTTTTGAGATCCCGCAAATTTCCTGGCCCAGTTCTTCAGCAGGGGATATTAACACGGGTTCCTATTACAAATTTGGGCCGAAAACCCCCAATTTGGCCACGAAGCTGGATTATCAGCTGAATTTCCCACGACAACCAGTGCTCGTTAGTTAGTTTAATAAGTTTATTATGCACCCCATACCCATCCTGTGGGCGGTAGTCAAAAGATTACAGAGGTACATAATTGGTCCAAGGACTGGACTCCAAAGTTTTGATAGCTGAGCAAGTTACAGAGGTAATGAACTCACAATTTAC